TTATGGCCCTCTCACTCAGGTGACATGTGGACCGCACCTGTGGAAGCAGTTAGGACCAGGCTGTGCGTTGGTACACTTACAGATAGGCAGTTGAGTTTTGCCAGTCACGAGGCCCGAGCCCAGTTCCCATCGTGTTGTGTCGTTGTCTCACTACCGGTGGATGATGAAAGAGGAAATGTGACAGTGAATGGGCAAGTAAGCGTCTTCTTCAGACCGGCGAATTAAACAAACGGCGGACGTTATCGTTGGTGAGGGGCGAATTGGCCTTGATATGAGCACAGCCTGGCGGTTTACTGGATTGGATCTTCATCCAAAATGGGAAAAAATACATGTAATTTAGGAACTCACAACAACCAGCGGAGATGGCTGGTAGGAAAAATTGCGCAAGGCTCCGATACTGTGCAATCTAGTCTCCACATCAGACGACAGCACAAGGTCCGACAGGTGCTGGATTCCATCTAGATCTCTACAGAGCAAAATATAGTCCTACAGGGAGAAGGTTTCACAGAAAACACGGAAAGTGTGAGATTATGAAATACAATATAGAAGTTGCATATCCGCGAGGAGGAGAAGTTAAGTCAATATTTTCCTAATTTAGTATTAACAACAACCCGCAAATGAGTTTGCGAGTGAGAGGCCGTGGCTGTATCGCAGTTAGTGCTTAAATAACTGGACAGACAAGACCCTGAGCGAGAGCACTGAGTAGTTAAGTTGTGTTCCAGGTCGACCAATCAACACTTTACAATGTACGGAATCGTATATTAGGTGTATTCCGACTTAAGTAATCCCTAAGAAGTTCATCTGTTCCGAATTTACTTCGTATATTAGCAACTGCGTTCTAGAAAGTACTTATGCAATTGCATAAATAAATTCTTCCACTAAAAACCTGCGATCTAACCGTGTGAGATACGTACTGACTTGAATCCATGTGCTAGTAAAAGTAACTGGATGTGCAATAAGGACTCAATCGAAGTTGTACCTGATTTAACTGAAATTATAAGAAAAATTTGAGTATGTTACAGCGGCTTAGCATTAAAAATTTACATGTAGTGACTAGGGTCAATAAACTAACAATTTATGGCTAAATACAAGTCCTTGGACAATGATTCTCCAAGCTCCGCTGCTAGGCT